AAACAGTTATTTTTCACATACAATGTATTTATTTTGTTTTTGAAGGAAATAAAACTAAACGTTTAACCTTAAATTTGGCATATCAGTTTAATAAAACAATAAAAATTGAACGCCAAGCTTAATATAAACATTGAAATAGAGTAAGAACGCAAATATCCATTTAGCAAGACAAAGAATAACTCAGTTTGACGTTAAACAATATTTTACTTAGTAAACTTGTTTATTTATTTCATATTAGATTTTCTTTGTTCGATTTCTTTTCYAATAAAAATACAATCCACGCGAAACTGCTTGATACCCTTATAAAARTACGCTTTTTGTTGACCAATCACATCGCATGTTTTGCATATAMACCAATTATTTACTATATTTAAACACTCTAGTAGGAGCCCGGTAATTGGCGATTATGTTATGTTATGAATAAGCCGTTTTCGTTTCGATTGTTKTTCTTGTTTTTCAAGGAAATGCCTAGAGGTATCATTTTATATGCCAATCAAAATGTTTACTTGAAGTATTCATTGCAAAAAGACAATTATTTTCTTTTTCTCGCGTACGCTTCAGCGTGTMTTTYGTTAGAGTAAGTTTATCAAACCCGTGAAACAAAATCTAACTATTTGCGCTCCTTTTTTGCACTCTACAAGCGTGAAAAGTACTAAAGTGAGATCTCTAAGGCCGTGGAAAAAAGTGCGATAMTCAAATAGACACAAAACAAAACAATTTAGAACGTACAAAGTTGTGTATAAGTGTAATAGTCTATTTCACGGGTATTTTTACTTCMCTTTTACCCTTGAGACAAAGATCAAGGGTAGAAGTGCGATTTATAAAATAACTTTCATATTACGCGCGCTCTGATTGGCCAAAAAGCCGTGTTTGATGATACACGCTCGCGTCATTTTTTCCTCGGCTTTTTTTTCTCATGAATATTTGAGCGCTTGTTATTTTATAAAAGCAATAAAAAACAGTTTTCCGTGTATATATACTCTGATAAAAACACTTGGGATGTGGAGAGAACACTCGAGGAGCTGCTTCGCGTCGTGGTTTCCTACGCTTCTCTCGTGTTCTACCTACATCCTGCGTGTTTTTGTCAGAGTATAATACACGGAAAACTGTTTTTTACTCCTTAAATAAAGCTAAAACAAAGAAAAACTTGCATAAAGAGTGACAGAGAAAAAAGAGTAAAATCCATTAAAAGTGCTAGATT